CTGTAAACCGCTTAGAGAGGGCTGAAAGCTCTATGAAGCAGTATATAAGTCTAACTGCTATTGCTAATTGTTTTGTGTTTATTTATTTATTAAATTTCTACACCACCCAAGCTACCTAAGTGACTCTGGGCAGTTTACAACATCAAGAGCCGCAGATTAAATGTAACATAGTTCCTTGGCTTAAAATTTAATTGATCCCAGAATTATAGTTGTAAATCAATGCATCCCACAACTGAATCCAATTTTTTTTTTTACATTTTTTTGTAGTGGCATTAAGCGAATACTACAATCATTAAACACATCAATTTTTACCAATGAGTGGGGTATTTTTTTATTTTTTTTTGCCAGACAAACAAACACTGCAAAATGGCAAATCACAGTAATGTAATCACGTCACATGACGCAGGCTGCAAAGGTTGAGCCAGCTGCTAAGGGACCACATGTGTTCATATGATTATAGGAGTGTGTGTGTGTGTGTGTGTGTGTGTGTGTGTGTATGTCCACTGTAACTCTGAGAATAGGTTGTAGTTAAGCGTCTGTCATAACTTTCAACGGTTGTTAAGCATCAAGGACTTCCTGTACATTTCACACCATCAACCCCTGAAGTTGAAACATAATAATCTTCAATGATGGGTGAAGAAAGCAATTCACAGGTATGAATCATGATTAAATTCAACAGAAGTTCAAAGGAATAGATCCAGAATTTTCTCTTTTCTTCCTTCTTTCCTCTCCTCCTTCACTTTCCTCTTAAGTCAAGTCCATGTTTTTTGCAACTAGTAATTCTGCAGCCAATTGACTTCCCTTTGCTCTAAATCCTCCTTCATCAGTTATCTGGCCTTTGAAAAACTGGCCTTCCTTCCAAAGTATTTGCCCTTTGATTGTGGTAGGCTCAAACAAAAGTGATTTATAAAGTGGCACCCTTCTGAACCCCTATCATACCTTGCATATACGTGCTATTCGTTCCCGACTCTAGGGGACAGTGCTCATCTCTGCCAGCGCTGTCCAAAGACATCTCTGTGGTCATGTTGGCCGACATGACTAACATGGAATGCTGTTCCTTTCCGACCAAAAGCGGTCCCTATTTTTCTACTTGCATTATTTACATGCTTACGAACTGCTAGGTTGGCAGAAGCTGGGAGAAGTAACAGGAGCTCACTCCATTATGCGGCACTAGGGATTTGAACCGCTGAACTGCCAACCTTTCTGATCGATAAGCTCAGCATCTTAGCCCACTGAGCCACCACATCCCTATCTAGAAAGAATCCCTAACCTAGAGGGTTTTAATCCAATTTTCACAATATTGAGATCACAAATAAGATTCAAAAATCAACCTAGCTGAGGCGCTTACAGAGCCAGGAAAAGGTTAATTCATTTTAACCACTTCTAAAAGAACTCCTGCTGCTTTCTCTGTGTAGGAAGAGTACAATCATATTGCATCTCATACGATGCCTATTTTTCTATCTAGCAGCTGTCACTCCCATGGAGAGGAAACTGTGAGCAGACCTCCACGTACATGTTTTCAGGATTGGCTAGAGCACCAGAGGAAGCAGATGGCAATGCAATTCACTGATATACCACATCAAGTAGAGCAAATTCATAATGATTACCCAAGGAGCTTTGGACAGCATTTGGGTTGAGAAACCAGCTGGAGCATCCTCACTGAATGATAGTTGTTATTCCAACAAAGGGTTTAAGAAACCGACAAAGACCAAGTGATTTCAAGCAGCTCAACTCCTCTTAGATGATGAGAGAAGATCACCTTTCAATCTCAAACACTTTTCCCCCGCCGGTTATTTCCCATTTTGTCGCAATCCAGAAACCCAGATCTTCCTTGGAGCAATGCAAGCTTTCAAACAGAGCCACCATGGGCACCAAAAGTTGGGAAAACTGCATTGGCAAGGTATAAATTTTGACCGAATCCCATAGATGATGTCAAGCTGCTGGTTGACACCATCAGTCAGATTTATCAGCAATTGTTGACATAAGGGAACATTAAAGATAAAGGTTTCCCTTGCACAAATGTGCTAGTCATTCCTGACCCTAATGGGCATTGCTCATCTCTGTTTCAAAGCCGAAGAGCCAGTGCTGTCCGAAGACGTCTCGGTGGTCGTGTGGGCAACATACACCGAAGGTGCCTGGAACACTGTTACTTTCCCACCAAAGTTGGCACCAATTTTTCTTCTTGCATTTTTGCATGCTTTCGAACTGCTGGGTTGCAGAAGCTGAGCCAAGTAACAGGAGCTCACCCTGTTACGCAGCACTAGGGATTTGAACCGCCAAACTGCCGACCTTCTGATTGACAAGCTCAGCATCTTAGCCACTAAGCCACCACGTCCCTTAAGGGAACATTGGGTATGACTTTTAAAACAAGCTTGGGGGCCGAAGATTATTAAAAAAAAATAGGTTATGCAACTATGACAGGCTGCAATTATATTGGACAGAGTACATATATGAACTGGGGTAATGATCTTCAGATAGCTGGAAAATGCCTCCTTGGTCCAGTCTAACTGTAGTAAAGCAGAAAGAATCTAAATTGTTTTCCATATATATGTATACAGTTTCCCTGAAAATAAGACCTCTGCGGATAATAAGCCCAATTGGGCTTTTGAGCGCATGTGCTAAAATAATCCCTCCCCCCAAAATAAGCCCTCCCTGAAAATATTGCAACACAGCAGCAGCTCTGAGGGGACGATGATTGCCTGTACCTCAAAAATAATAAGACCTCCCCAAAACTAAGGCCAATAGCTTATTTGGAGGGGGGGTGTCAAAAGAAAATAAGACCCTGTCTTAATTTGAAGGGAACATGGTACATAGAAAATTCTCGTACTGCTGATTCTGGCCATAGAGACCATACACAACATCCTGATTCCTACTTTCCATTCTCAAGGGGATCATGAAATGTAGCATAATTCTTAATTCAGTTCAAAGCTGAAAGGACCCTGGGGTGGAGTGGGGGGAAATGCTGGGGTGTTTAAACCAGAACAGCTAAAACCCATATTCCGTTTTGTTTTTGTTATTGTTGGGAAGAAATTAAAAACAACATGATGTCCTTACTGTTGGTGGAGAGAGCAGGGACTTACTTAATGGCTCTCTCTAGGTTTAGAAGGCATTTCCCTCGTTCAGTTTTTCCCTCCAACCTCTAGATTTTGCTAGTTATTTTCAAGGCAATTTCCCTTTTCCTCCCTGGAAAAATGGGACATGATTTATTCATATTTGCCTTACAGACAAATTGCCTTGCAGACCTTGATAACATGAGCTTTTCTCCGCCATAGTTTCTGGTACACTAATGAACATCAATTGGGTCAGACTGGAGGATATATTGTATGGGTAAGCAGTGCTTTGCCTGATAGGAAAGAAACTTTTCGGACTTAGGAACCATCAGCTGAACAAGAAGAAAATGATGTCTGCAGAAATCACAAAAACAAAACAAAACAAAAAAAAACCCACAACCTACAAATGGCCAAATTTAATCTGACCTAGAGGTTCTTGAAAGAAAAGTTCCATGCAATGTAACACAGTTTTTTAAAAATACATCAACTGATGTAGCCCTATTATGGAAGTAAATCGGGATTGGATGAGTCGAAATGAGATGCTATGTGGTGAAAGGAAGGAAGGAAGGAAGGAAGGAAGGAAGGAAGGAAGGAAGATAAAGAGAGAAAAGAGAGCGGAAGGAAGGAAGGAAAAATATAAAGAATGAGTGAGAAAAGAAGGGAGGGAGGGAGGAGAAATATAAAGAGAAAGAATGAGGAAGGAAGGAAAATAAAGAGAGAAAAGAGAGAGGAAGGAAGGAGAAATATAAAGAAAGAGTGAGAAAAGAAGGTAGGGAGGGAGATAAAGAGAGAAAAGAAAGAGGAAGGAAGGAGAAATATAAAGAGAAAGAAGGAGGAAGGAAGGCAGATAAAGAGAAAAAAGAGAAAAGAAGGAAGGAGAAATATAAAGAAAGAATGAGAAAAGAAGGAAAGGATTGAGGGAAGAAGAAACAGAGAGAAAAGAAAAAGGTAGGAAGGAGAAATATAAAGAGAAAGAATGAGGAAAGAAGGAAGGAAGAGAGAAAAGGGAGAGGAAGGAGAAATATAAAGAAAAAGAGAAAAGAAGGAAGAGAGGAAGGAAGGGACATAAAGAGAGAAAAGAAAGAGGAAGGAAGGAGAAATATAAAAAGAAAGAGTGAGGGAAGAGAGGAGGGAGGGTGGGAGGAAGGAAGGAAGGATTAACTTGATAACTGATTAGTATTCTTCACCTCCAAAGCTTGGAAACTGACAGCAAAACCCCTCACACACACACACAATCTATGGTTTATTGTTGAATTAGCTACACAATGAAAAACTAGCTATGTGTCATTTTGATTCAGGTGAAGTCTTTATTATTGTTGTTGAATTGTTGGGAGTATCAAGGCTTTTTAGAAAGGCGATAAAGTACCATAGGGAGCAATCCACAAATCACTCATGTCCTGCCCACACATTAAACACAATAAAGCTTCAGCGATTTTATTTTTTAAAAAAAATTCAGTAAGGCTCTGTTACATAAAGAAATGCAGGATAACTTACCTTAAGTACTATGGGGAAAAAAATATAGGAACATATACATTGGTCTGCATGTATGCACACACCAACAAATGCCAGTTTGCAAACTTGCCATCTTGTCATGGTTATAGCCACTTACAAGTCAGGAAAAGCACAGGAATCTTGGCTTATGGAATTCTTGCCAGCTAGAATGGAACAGTGCAATGTAAGAGCTTCTATCCAATTACTTCTCCTAAGGATTTCTTCCCCTTTCAACTAAAATTTTCCTTCTCAACTTTTTTGGATTTCTCCCCCCCCCCAACACTAACTTAGACCCTGTTCATTTTTCACCTTGGAGCCCCCTATGTAATTTAAAAAGTTCCCTAATGTAACTCTTGGATTTTTTAAAAATAGTTATCTATCATAAGTTCAAGACAAATGCTGTACCATTTATCCATGGAATACTTTGGTCTTCTGTAATTAGTAAGCACTGAGAAGAGGTGAGTTGTTAGATCATAACCTCATAGTCTCAGAGGTGCTTTTAAAAAAAGGCATAACCTGATAGTTTCAAAGGTGCATTTTCAAACTGGAAGAAAATGTTTTGCTTCTCATCCAAGAAGCTTTATCAGTTCTGGGTGGATGGTGGGGGTGATGGAAAGATGTGGGGACTCTAGAAAATGCAGAGAAGAGCAACAAAGATGATTAGGGGACTGGAGGCTAAAACATACGAAGAACAATTGCAGGAACTGGGTATGTCTAGTTTAATGAAAAGAAGGACTAGGGGAGACATGATAACAGTGTTCCAATATCTCAGGAGCTGCCACAAAGAAGAGGGACTCAAGGTATTCTCCAAAGCACTTGAGGGTGGAAGCAATGGGTGGAAACTGATCAAGGAGAGAAGCAACTTAGAACTAATGAGTAATTTAATCAGTTGAACAAACTTGCCTCCAGAAGTTGTGAGCGCTCCAACTTCTGGAGGCAAGTTTTAAAGAAGATGTTAGATAACCATTTGTCTGAAGTGGTGTAGGGTAAGCAAGACTAGCCTAAGCAAGATCTCCAGGGTCTCTTCCAACTTTGTTATTCTACTCTATTCTATTCTATTAGTTCTGACAGAAGCTAAATGTTTTCTTGTTCTTCCTAAAGGAAAAAAAAAACACAATCCAGTTCCTTTTGAAAAAGCATGTTTGAGACAACTATGACTTGGATGATTGAGAATCTCCACATACATAACGTGATAGGTTTTTCTCCTTAATTAATTAAAAATCTGTAAAAGAAAATGTCACTAACCCACAACCAAAAGCCCAGAAATATTTTAGACAGTTACCTACATAGGACTGTGGATTTTATGAGCATAGTCTCAATCTGACTTCTTATTTTATAGCCAGATGCAAAGATTCACACACACATATTGGCAAGGACAGTAGCTTTTCTGTTTTGAAAAATGGGGATATTCAATGCTTCAGCCACTTATGGTCTACCCTCTTCCCTTTAAATGTATATAAACACAATTAACTGATCTTTCAGAACTCAATCCATCTGTATTTAAGGGAATACCATTATGGTACTTTTTTAGATTATTTTCTTGAGTTCTCAAATAAGACTTCAAATCATAAATTCAGTGCTCACTTTAATGGATTCTCGTACTGATGTCCATTAACAAGGTTATCATGTAATGGATACACCAAAATTAATAAAAACAAAAGTGGTTTATAATAGTGCCTATCAAAATGGCGCACCATATTGCATTCCCAACTCTAAACTGCTTTGCTGATCACCTTAAAAGTCATCATTCTGTTTTGCTGTTTACCCGGCTGTAAAATGAGTATAATAACCACATTTGTCAGCCCCACAGGGGTTATGCAAGTCTTAATTAAGGCTACAGAATTGTTCTGATGACCTCGGATGAACATGGTGGCATTTAATTTATTTCTTTCGGCAAGATACCCATCTCTGTAATGCAAGATTCACAGACTGGAAAGAATGCTAAGTTATACAACTTCTGAGCTTTTATACCAAAAATAACTGAGAATCGAACACATCCTAATAGAAAGCAGCAGCAAAAGGCTAAGTCATTTGGCGCCGAAGCTGTCTGACATTTATGTTACAGCTCATCCAATGACAGCTCACTATAGATCTTTTTCAGTGCCAGATCAACCTTCAGTCTTTTCAACCTGTTAATGAGACACCCAGCTCGATTCTTTTCAGCCAAAAACAAGAATAAAAAACATACATCATATTCTTTACCTCTAGCATGCCTTAATGAAAAGGAAGCATTTGAGACAGAAACCAAGATGACAGAAGGAATAGATAGAACCGAGTATTTATCCATGGTCTCTTGAGTTTTGGTTCATAGCTTATAAAGATGTTTTCCTTTGCAAAAATAAAAAGGAACTATATTTGCTATTTTCCTTTCCATTGCTATGGAGGCTCCGATTTCCTACTCTTCCTGAAAGTAACCCCCTTACAGGCCCCATAGGCTTAAATTGATAGGGAGCTGTCCAATAGGAGGGGTGCTGAACAAAGAAAATGTTAAACCAGTATCAAGCGTAGGCATCAACCGAGAATCTTTGTAGACGTTCTGGCAATTCCATTCTTACCAGAGTCTTGATCCAGTTTGTATGTGGACATTTATTTGCATTTCTGGCAGCCTTGTGTGCCAGAAGATCCAGGGCTTTAATTTATATATTCATTAGATTTTTATCCTGCCTTTATATTTATTGGATTCTTTTCCTGCCTTTATTACTTATAAAAAAACCCAACATGACGAACATACATAATACACCGTCTCCTATTTCCCCCACAACCACCACCTATGAGGTGAGTTGGGCTGAGAGAGAGAGTGACAGGCCCAAGGTCACCGAATTGGTTTTCCTACCTCTGAGCCTCAAGGTTTTTAGGCCAGCACCTTTACCACAACTGGCTCTAGTTCTCTCTACTTCCACAGTCTCAAAGATGTACCATTCCCTCAAATTTAGACTAAAATAACAGAGTTGGAAGAGACCTTGGAGGTCGTCTAGTCCAACCCCCTGCTTAGACAGAAAACCCTACACCACTTCAGACCAATGGTTATCCAACTTCATCTTAAAAACTTCCAGTGTTGGAGCATTCACAACTTCTGGAGGCAAGTTGTTCCACTGATTAATTGTTCTAACCGTCAGGAAATTTCTCCTTAGTTCTAGGTTGCTTCTCTCCTTGATTAGTTTCCCCCCATTGCTTCTTGTTCTACCCTCAGGGGCTTTGGAGAATAGCTTGACTCCCTCTTCTTTGTGGCAACCCCTCAAATATTGGAACACTTCTATCATGTCACCCCTAGTCCTTCTTTTCATTAAACTAGACATACCCAGTTCCTGCAACCATTCTTCATATGTTTTAGTCTCCAGTCCCCTAATCCTCTTTCTTGCTCTTCTCTGTACTCTTTCTAGAGTCTCCACATCTTTTTTACATCGTGGAGAACCAAAACTGAATTTAGTATTCCAAGTGTGGCCTTACCAAGGCTTTATAAAGTGGTATTATATCTACTTCTATTCACTTTTACATGATTAAGACCAGTGGCAGCATCCCTAATATTCTAAGGAAAATTCATCTACTTCTGGAGAGGTCCTGACAGGCAGGGACTGTAATGGGGAATGATGTAAAGAAAAGTAATTTGGTGAAGCCTTTTGAGAAGAAATATAGTTGGTAGATCCAGGAATCTTCTCATTGCCTGGTCATTTTAAACTATTCATTATTGCGCCCAAGATCTTGGATAGTTACATGGTAATCTACACACCACACAATTTGGTCCCAAAATAACCCAAAAGCTCAATACACTAAAAGAGATTGTGTCAGGCCTGCAGCCATCTTTTCTTTTGGGTCTTTGGCCTGCCACACTTCCTATTATTATGCTATGCATTTTCTATTACTTGAGAGACCGCCTGCTGCCAATTACCTCCCACAGACCCATTAGATCTCACAGGGTTGGCCTCCTCCGGGTGCCATCTACCAGCCAATGCCACCTGGCTATTACCCGGGGGAGGGTCTTCTCTGTGGCAGCTCCGGCCCTCTGGAATGAACTCCCCGCAGGGATTCGGACCCTCACCTCTCTCCAGGCCTTCCGAAAAGCCGTCAAAACCTGGCTTTGCCGGCAGGCCTGGGGGTGATGAGTTCCCTCCCCTCTCGACATGTATGGTTGTGCGACTGTTGTTTACTTTTATTATTTGTATTTTGTTTTTTATGTTCCCCTTTTCCCCCCTTGAATTGTTTGCTGTCCTGAGTCCTCCCGGAGAAGGGCGGCATACAAATAATAAAATTCTATTCTATTCTATTCTATTCTATTGGGGGAAAATGGGAGGTAGGAGTGAGATGCGATGTAGCCATAACAAAATCCTTTCTAGAAAGCCAAGGTCATCCTTTGTCTCTGCCCCTCTGCACCTGACCGGAACTGGATGGGTGGAACTGCCAGCATGGCAGTGGGAGATTGGACTTGTGAGTGTGAGGGCAAGATCTTCAACTTTCAACTGGGTGGGGGAAACTGGGAAGCTTTCAGATTCAGGTTTTCCCAGATGTGCCAACATGGCTCTCTTAATAAATTGGAGCTTTGAGCAACACTTTGCCTTCGACTCTGATTTACTTTTGGATGCTATTTGGAACCCTGACATTTTGATGTGAAATCCCTGCACTTACTAGGGGTCATGTCCATGGGATTTAAATATAAATAAACACAGATGCATGATGGACCTTCTAGTTGCTGTCTGTTGAAGTGAGGTCATGAAGTTTGCAGTCACCCAGGTACTGCTTCAAGTAATTCCCATACTCTGTCTAAGAAGAATGCCTGACTGTAAGAATCGATCTAACTATTTCAATGATAGTATCTTTGTACTGAATTAATTGTGCTCTACAGATAGTCCTCGACTTACATGCATTTATTTAGTGACATTCAAAGCGACAACAGCACTGAAAAAAGTGACTTATGACCGGTCCTCACACTTACAACCTTTGCCACATCCCCGTGATCATGTGATGAAAATTCTGATTGGCAACTGACATATATTTATGATGGTTGCAGAGCCCAGCAAAGATTTATGACAAAGTCATTGGGGAAGCCAGAACCAATTAACAACTGTAGTGATTCACTTAACAACTTTGGCAAAAGGTCATAAAGTGAAGCAAAACTCATTTAACAACTGCCTTGCTTAGCCACAGAAATTTTCATTTGTGGTCATAAGTTGAGGACTATCTGTGTACATATCCCTGTGGTGACGGGAACATCTGCTCACACTCCTCAGGCTTTAATCTAAAATTGTAAGAGAGCAGCTGGTTTTAACAGTGCTTTCATTCTGCCTCATCTTGAGCCTTTACCGCTAAATAAACATTAAGCAATAGAATATATGAGTAACAAGATGTTACACTCCTAAGTGGAGAATATATCGGTGAAATTAAAAACATTTGGCACGCTTCTGATCTCAAGATTTTACAGCCATTTAGAAAAACAGGAATCAAATGTTCTATTCAGGCATCCCTTGGTGTTGATATGATGGGAGGCAGATTTTTTATGTAATGTGCTGAATTATGTTTTTGTTAGGGGTTTGAACAGTGCAGGATTAACTCATGGAAAACATGGCGGGCCAGAGAGGGCTGGATTTTTTGTTATGTTGGGTACAGAAACCTGGAATCTCAAGTCAGAGCAGATCTACAGACAGGGAAGGCAAAACTCAGAACGATGTCATCAAAGGGAAGAGGAGGGAGGGGAAAGGAGGAGGAGAAGGAAGAGGGAGGGGGAGGGAGGAGGAGAAAGAGGAGGAAGAGGGAGGACAAGGGGCGGGTCCTGGTGCTGTCGATTCTCTCATGGGTGAGCTGCGCACGGTTGCACAGTGCAATAAAAATTGTTCTGCCCATTCAGAGAAAAACAAGATGGCAGCACCTACAGCACTGCCTGGAGAACTAATTTGTTGATGGCCGCCAAACCACTACCGGTTCGGCTGAACTGGTCTGAACCAGTAGGAACCCACCACTGGGGAGGGGGGAAAAGGAGGAGGAGGAGATACTTTATTCCAAATATGTCTCTCATTCTGTCTCAGTTTGTCCACTTTGTGTCTCCTTTCTTCTTGTAAGGAATTCTGGGTACTTTTCTTGTTTTATCTCCACAACTATCTGTCCAGCAGCTCAAGCCCCAAAGCAACTCCATCCACAAATCAAAAGCAACTTCTGTATTTCCTAAAGTATGGGAGAAAAAATCTTTCTGGCATGCTAACGACCCTTATTTTGGTATGCGTTCCTCTGAGACCTACCCTGATTATAACATTCTTTTTGATAACAGATTAAAACCTTTTTATTTGCTTCGTCATTTTGCAGTTAAACCGAGATAAAAAGCTTTTACACTTCTTAGATTCACTATACCAATGTTTTGTTGTTGTTGTTAGTCGCAAAGTCATGTCCGACCCATCACGACCCCATGGACAACATTCCTCCAGGCCTTCCTGTTCTCTACCATCCCCGGAGTTGATATTTAGCTTCTACTAATCCATGGAATATTTTCTTTTCAATGTATTACTCTAGAATACTTCCCTTTTTTTTCTTTTTTATGGAGGCGTAACTTATTTTTTGTTTAGAAAAATTAAAGTTTTCTAGTTCGGCTCTTAGCAACATCTTATTTAAAAAGCCCAAAGGGATCCTTGTGCTTCATAATATCGCAAAGCTGTTGCCAGTTGTGGCATCACTGTGCTCACTGGATAAAAAGATTTGACTCATACAGAATCTCTTTATAAAATTTTGCTCAGCTGAATAATACAATGAAACACTCCAGGCAAGAGAAGTGCTTGAAACAAATGGTGTAGGAATGGTTATTTTTATGCGTGGTTGCAAGACTTACCACTTATCCATTTAGCCTCTGGGTCATGAATTTTGAAATCTTCGCTGAATAGATCTTCCACTGTAATTTTCTTCTTCTGAGACTGGCTATTATCTTCAACTGTAAATCAAGAGGGGGGAAAATATCCATTATGATTAATTTGCAATTTACCTGCCCATTCAACAAATGAGACAAGTTATCCATTTTCCATCTGAATTAGCAATGTTGGAATAGATGGACATGGGATTTGTTAGAATTCTTTATTGCATTACCATTGACCTAATAAGGAGAGATCTTTTCCATTTGCAACTTGGAATGTATGAAGCACAGCTGGGATAGCACTCATTAGCACAATATGAAAGGCTCAACTAAAATGTCAATGAAAGTGTTTTACCACCAAGCCATCACAAGGCAACTTTGCAACATCCCTTGTGAGACAATGGAGTGAAAATAGGGCAGAATGACTATAAGGAGCATTTGTGAAACTATGAAAATAAAATCAATAGTTTTGCACCAACTTGTAAAACTATTCTGCTTAAAACACGTGTCATATTTCCACAGGTTGGATCTGAATTAGTCTTAAAGCAATGATAACACAACCCTAGCTCTAGAACTGTGTCAGAATATTCATGAACTGGCAGAAACATGGTAACAAGATAGTCAATGAATAGGCATGGTAACAAGTCAGCCAATGAGGCTTATTTGGAAACAGAAACTTAAGTATGAAGTCTGGGCGTGGCTTTCTTTATTAACCACTGAACTCTGAACTGAAACAATCTCTCCTCTCTACCACGTTGGAAGAATCTGTTGTTGGTATTGTACATTTATTCATGTGTTATTATGTATATAAAGAAGTTAACGAATCCTGCTGAATCAGTTATCTGTGTATGCTTTCTGGATTTGATTTTTGCAACAAACTCTGACAAACTGTTTGGGAGTTGAGTCCTAGAACTGGACTTATTTTCTTGTTGGCTTGAGATGTTTTGCTGCCCATCCCGGCAACTTCTTCGAAGCAAGCACGTTCGTTAGTGGAATCTTGAGTAGGCAAGAGAGCCATTGGAATTACCAACTCCTAAAATTCATAGGGGTATTTCTGCACCAACCTCAGGGTTTCTTCCCCAAAGTGTCTTGCAATATGTCAACGAAAATTCTCAGTCACTCAGGTAGAATTGTATTTTTAGAGCCCAGAATATCCAGATATCCTTCAGAAGAGACACTTCTCTGATTCATTGAACTATTAGAAGCAGAATGCACAGAACAATCAGATTTTCAAGTTTCGGTTTTATAGGCAATCTCAATTTTAGTCTTCCTGTGGAGTTGATTTCTTGTCTGGTTTACCTGGTAGGCTGACAATATCACTGACATTAAAGCACCTAATTATTCCAGTGTAGGTAGACCTCCTATGTTGGAGCTCCAGTGTAGGTAGACCTCGCTTAAGGATTGCCTCCTTTAATAACCAAAGTTAGGACCACACTGCTAAAGAAACTTGTTTTTGTATTTACGACCGCCATAGTAACTCTGTGGTCATATATCAATATTTGGTTGTTTCACAGCCTGTGGGCACTAATGACCACGCCATGATTCTATGGTCACTGAACAACATTTGTGTGCTTTTCATTTAGCTTTTGACAAGCAGAGTCATTGGAGAAGCTGGTAGTAATATCATAAGCGGCAGTCATATGAGGTCTTGGTTAATGACCATGGCAAAAGTGAGAACATTAAGTGTCATGGTGTCATGATGTTTCCCTTAGTGATAGTTGTTGTTGTTAGTTGCGAAGTCGTGTCCCACCCATCGCTACCCCATGGACAACTTTCCTCCAGGCCTCTGGAGTCCATTTACGTTCACACCGACTGCTTTGGTGACTCCATCCAGCCACCTCACTCTCTGTCATCCCATTCTTCTTTTGCCCACAATCGTTCCCAGCACGAGCCTCTTCTCCAGTGAGTCTCTCCTTCTCATTAGGTGGCCAAAGTATTTGATTAGTGATAGTATTGCTTTGCAATGGAATTGTCGGTCTCAATCGTGACCACTAAGTAAGGATACCTGTGTTTGCAGATAATGAAACGTGGGTCCTTGAAATTGTTGTAGGAGATGAAGGCGATGTTAGTCTATCACTTGGTACATCACAATCAAAGGATTTACTGTATGCTTGACCTCACTCTAAGCTTTATGTAAGCCCAATGTAAATACATACTGAAGAAAGAGCCAGCAATAGATCAGATCAGATGTTATGTGTCTCTTCCATGGAAAATTACACCCATCTAGTAGTTACAGCCTATAATATAATTAGAGTAACCTTAAGGGGATGGAGGACAAGCCCCAATCAAGACAATGGTCAGCCAAAGGAAACTTGAGACTTATCTTCCATACGATACGATTTAATGAGGTAGTGGATCATCCGAAAACAAATTCTACAGGTTCCTATATGCTGGTCAATAATTCATTTGTTGCTTGCCCTGTCAACTGTGGCCAATGAGCCAAGAGATTAATGTAGAGATGGTGCTGCCTCATATGACAGGTGTACAAAAATCTCTTGGTGCTATGATGTCATGCCTTCATGGGCATAGCACATTTGTAACTCCTCTGATGCCACACATTCATTTGCATAGGTGCAAAAAAAAAACACCAACCCAAACCCTTGTGATGCTGTGATATATTTTGCACAGCCTTTTCATTCTTTGCTGTGACATCCTGCTTTGATTTGCATAGTCCTTCCATTCCCTTTGATTAGTGTGTGGCAATGGTTCTTAGAACTAAAAACCTTAGCGTGTAGTACAAACGGAAGTTTGTGTGCCTGTTAATGAAATGAAGCCAGCTTCATGGCTGAATCTTAAGTGGCTGGAGTACTTTGGGACTGCTGAAGTGAAAAGCCGTTTTCCTCTCCATTAATTGGCTCAAAGGAAACTGTTTATGGCATCTTTAAATAGGGATGCGTGTGGCCTGCATAACAAGTAAAAGTATAAATAATGGAAAAGATGCCCGGCGGCACAACTCTCCTTTAATCATTTGATACAAAAACCTGGTTTTTAAATATTTTGATTTGGAAATGCCCCCCATTAATGTCAGTGAAGTCCCAGGCATGGAAGTGCATTAAGGGTTGAGCGTTACTTCTAATATTGTCCTTCAGATTGAGGAGAGACCAGTAACTGAATCATTTAATGCAGGGGTGTCAAACTTGACTTCATTGGTGGGCAGCTGGTTGTGTTTGACCTATCGTAAGCCGTTGTTTTGGCAATACAACTGAATATATAGGTAATCCTTGGTTTACAATTAATCTTTAATGACTGTTGGGACTTATAAAAAGTCTCAAAAATAGGGCTTTATGGCCTGCAATGCACTTTCAGCCAACATAAGCTGCCCAGATCACTTATGATGAGATGGGTAGAAAATATATCTAATAAATAAATAAGGTATCCCCCTGCATGTATGTATTAGTCATTCCTGACTCTAGGGGGGCGGTGCTCATCTGTGTTTCTAAACAGAAGAGCCAGCACTGTCCAAAAACTTCTCTGTGGTCATGTGACCAGCATGACTAAATGCCGAAGGTGCACGGAGCACTGTCACCTTCCCAATAGGAAAGGTGGCTCCTATTTTCCTACTTGCATTTTCACATGCTTTTGAACGGCTAGGTTGGAAGAAGCTGGGACAAGTAATGGGAGCTCACTCCGTTACGCGGCGCTAGGGATTCGAACCACTGAACTGCCAACCTCTCTGATCAACAAGCTCAGCGTCTTAGCCCCTGAGCCACCGCTTCCCTAATAAATAAATACATAAAAGTTTAATAAATAAATAAAACTTAATAAATAAATGTAATAAACACGTAAAAATTGTGTTACCCTCCTGTAGTTACAGGATTGCATTTCAACTTGGCAAGTGGCTCACATTTATAGTTGGTTGCAATGCCTTGTAGCCAAATGAACAAAATTTGTAATGTTTTTTTTACCAGTTTCTGGCAAAAAGAACCCCACCCATTCAAAGAATGGATCAGTTTAATGACTGTGTTATTTGCTAAGTGACCACGGCAAAAACTATTTTTGAAATTGGGGCTGGTCATATATGTGTGTCTTGACTCATGAACCCAACAACGTATGATTGAAATTCCAGACCCAATTGTGGTTATAAGTGGAGAATTATCGTGTTTCCACAAAATAAGACCGGGTCTTATATTAATTTTTGCTCCAAAAGATGCATTAGGCCTTATTTTCTGGTTAAGACTTATTTTGGGGAAAATACGGTACTAAATGCATCCATCTGAATGACAGTCTTAACTGGGGCTTATTTTGGGGGTAGGGCTTATATTACGAGCATTCTGAAAAATCATGCTAGGGATTGTTTTCCAGTTGGGTCTTAATTTTGGGGAAACAGGGTACCTCCGTGGGAAGATCAGTTGCTATCTCATTTGAGCAGCTCTTTTCATGCAGGATAAGGATACCTATGGTTCTTTGATATGTGCACGTATACTTTTGATATTATTATTTTTTAAGAAAACCCAAATCCAACCTTTTATTGAAGATTATTAGGACTCAAAAGGACAGGGCTTAGAGATTATCATTGTAGGACTGATCTCTCAGCCCAGCGGAATAAAATCAGGCCTCTGCCTTTTTAAAATGCCTTTGGGAAGATTCTGAAATTAGAACAACAACAACAACAACAACAGCAGCAGCAACAAAGGCTATAGATTATATAAATACCTGGTGTCAGCAGGATAACAGAAGTGACAATCAAGGAGCAGATCACCAGAATCACAAGTAGAGCAATTGCAATTCCTTTCCAGTTCCTTTGCGGAGGATTACTTCCCACCAGCTCCTACAAGCCGCAAAAGGAGAAGAAACGATGAACAAACAGGAAGTGCAACAACCTAAAAATAAGGAGCAATAATAAGGTGAATTATTTTAACAGCCATAACTATTATAGCAGTGGCGGCGCAGTGGTTACAATACAATATTGCAGGCCAACTCTTCTCATTGCCAGGAGTTCGATTCTGACTGGCTCAAGGTTGACTCAGCCTTCCATCCTTCCGAGGTGGGTAAAATGAGACTCATATTATTGGAGAGTCAATAGGCTGACTCTGTAAACCACTTAGAGCAGGGGTAGTCAACCTTTTTATACCTACTGCCCACTTTTGTATCTCTGTTAGTAGTAA